TTATGTTATGAATATGAACAGTTCACAAGTTACAAATTACTCACTCCCATAGTTTTTTTGGAGCCTGCTTGCTTTTTGTAAACTTGTCTTCATTGGTGGCCCTGAAATGAATCAGGGCTCGTGTTTTGTCTGGTGGCCCTGAAATGGAACAGAGATAACAACATTACTTTCTTTTATTTTTTATTTTTTTGGGCTACCTGTCAGATATTCGTTAAGTTATTAGTTTAGTTTCATGTAGTATTGCAAGTATTATCACAATGAATACTGTAGTCAACATCCAGCAGAACTGGTGAGTGTTATCTGATGACTTTCATCCACGTTAACGTTTCACTCTTTGGGTTATAAGTTGACATTCAACCAAATAACCTGTACAACAACAACCGACGTAACTTATTCAGCGGAAAGTCACCAGATAATACGATCACTAACGTTAACCTGCAGCTGTAACGTTACCAGCTGCCGACTCTACGGCTACAGGAGATGACACCGTCATCTTACAAAAATGTCAATGCAAACATTTCACGTATATTAAAACAACTTAACAATTACATTACCACTGAGAAAAATGACTGAATGACAGCATCACTCCGTTATCAGAGAACCGGGGTTACGTGCAGGGGCAAGCGCCCGCCCCGGCTTCGTTAGCTAGCCAAAATAATATATGTGTTTCGCTACAGAGAGGTCTATAGTCTATAAAATGACGTTAAACTAAGATAATGCAATGGTTATCATAATTTTAAAACAACTATTAACGAGGAAAATACTCACATTGTTAACTCACTCACTAACTTCAGCTGGGCTCGGCGGATGATACGCAAAGGATTCTGGGATAGCACTCACTACCAAGGGTGGTCCTGAAAAATCTTAAAAGTGAGGGCCATACAGCCCTTATTCTTGACCCTCAACTCAACACTCTGAGAATTGGGACAGAACTAGCACTTCGCGGGAGCGCGGATTTTTGAGACTGAGGGTTAAGATTGAGGGTTAAAATAGGAATTGGGATTGGGCCTATGTGTAACATTTTCAGTTGTTCTTTGAGACAAACAAATTTTGCAGTCAAAAGTGTGTCCTAGCACATGTGTATTTACCTCCATCAGCATATCTAAGTATGTCTCTAAGCTCCGAAATTCTCATTTACATATGCATTGCGACCGTTGTCTCATCATGTACGTGCGCCATCTTGAAAATACAGGTACGTCCAGGGACATACTTCAGAAATATGGAATCGCCTTTCGCATTTTCACTTGTCGGTTTCCAGTTTACGCCTGCAGGTAGAGTGACAAAAAGCAGCAGCAATCAGGCTAGTCACAAGTGCCGGTGCATTTGAAAAAAAAGGCAAAAAGGCAACGTGACCGGCAATTTCAAAAAACGAGGGTTAACACTGGGGTAGCCTTTCCCAGGTGGAGAGAGCTGCTGAAGGAGCTAACAGCTGTTAGCCGCTGTTAGCGCTGTTAGTGCTGTTAGCGGCACTGGTCGAGGAGAGGGATGAGGTGTGTGAGGTTGAGCCACTTGTCAGTTGTCAGAAGACAAGACGTGATTGGTTTGTTTCGATTTACACCCGCCCCAACAGTCCTACGTTGTAAACACAGCCAGCATGGTGAGGAGGGGGTTTGTCAACTCGCGTGGCGTGTGTCTGTCTAGGAGCCTGAATGAATACTCCATGAAGTATCGGATGACATGGTTTCATCAATGTTATCATAGCTTTTTGGTACACAGCAGCTACCGTTGTTGCAATACGCGTTTGAAACAGTGAGGCGCTAGAGTGCGCCATCTGTTTGAATGCAATATACGATCTCAACCCTAGATGGGAGAAATTCCTACACAGTGCCCGTTTAAGGTGAGAGTATTATGCACTGTTTAGGAGTTGTTGAGGAATTATTGTTCATTTAATGAATTTAATGAGACAGAATGAATATTGCGATAATTATCATAAAAGGTCAATGAAATTTAAGGAAATGGTTGAAACTGCCCATGTCTTCAGACTGACCCAACACTCAGGCCTGGAATTTCGTCATTTTAGGGGCAAGGCCACTTGGCCTTTCGTGTTGTCATTTTTTGAGGGCACAAAGGCCAAAAGCCAGGGCAGCAAGGCCATACAATAAAACAATGATTTTAAGTCCATGTTCATAATGAATTTAATTTAAGGACTAAGGATGTATAACTATCTGTGAAATAAATAAATAAAACAAGCTCAAGTAATAATAATGAGTATAATAAGTAATGTGATTTATTTCATAGTACTAATAAACCCAATGTGTTTTAAATATAGAACAACCAGGTTTATGTATTTATAAGCAAACAATCTTAAATATTTTTTGAGTGTACATGGTAAACTGATTCACTGAACACGACTGGCTTACAATGATTTTTGATGTGTTGTTAGATAGCTAACAAACAAACAAACTACAGCAGGGCTATTCAATTACTATTTCAACTGGGCCGCATTTCAAAACCAGATCATGTCGATGGGCTACAGTTTTAGCAGTGAGCAACCGATCCACTTTTTTTTTTTTTTTGCATACATATATTTATGCATATAGGCTACAGGCATGGCCCTCCTCAACATGATGCAGAAACAGACTAAAAGAGAGCTGTCAATGCACAGAAGCATAATAAGTGAGATTAACAGTATCTAACAACACACACTATTTCTCTACCAGCATCTCCCTCTCCCCTCTCCTCCACACACACACATGCACACACCTCACCTCCTGGCGTTTTCCTTATAGGCCAGTTACACAGGATATAGTTTTATACAGTCCATGGCAGCAACAGTCATGTTTACAACAACAAAGTCACTATTTAAAACCCAGTAACATCTCACTGGAATATAAATATTCCTCCTGACATCACAATACTGAGTGAAGAAAGTCACGTTATCTCAGCATGAAGACAAACATCAGTATCAGTCGTTCATCCTGCTCTCTGTCCCTCCTCTACTGAGGACACTCACTGTCTGCAGGTCGGCTGCCTCAGGTACATGTTCAGATAAAGTGTTAGCCTACATACAGACAGCTTTCATTTTAGTTTGACTTTAACACTTGAGAGACTGTGGACAGAGCAGACTGAAATAGACTTTCTACATGCTGATCACATATATTGATAAAGTACTGGCTTGGCTGGCAGAGGTTTTATTGCACTTACTCACAGTAACAAGCGTAGTTGTTGTCAAGTAGAGTCATCCCTTCATCTGCACCGCGGCCCCACCGCTGCAGAATGATGATAGATGAAACCAAAACTTTAAAAAGTAACGCCGATAATAGCAGAGCTTACTGTTATTACGGTGTTGATTAAACTTGCCTTGGGTTGTTCAATACCGGGTCTCAGTACTGATCCCTGCCCGGGTGTTTGATGAAGTCTCCTGGTTGGCCGGTGATAGATTGATGTCAAACTGTTGTTAATGCCTGCCCGAGCGGTTCATGCCAGGCTCGAATCAAACCCATGTTGACAGGAAAGAGGCAGAGGAGAAAAACGCAAAATCACCTGGGGCAGTGCGGGCGGAGCTTCAAGGCCACTGTGGCCTTAGGGCAGATATTTTTTTCAAGGGCACATGGCCAAATTAAGAGGGCACGAGGGCCATGGCCCTCAAGGCCCTCGTGGAATTCCTGCCCTATCCACAACCCAGAGTTTTTTATTCACTTTAAAATGTTCTAAATCAGAGAAAGACAGAAGAATCCTTACACTGGGAAGACAGAATGACTTGAAGAATGAATCAATTTTCAAATAGTTCTACCTTTGATAGGCTTCACCCTCTACTGAACTCTTAAATAAATAATTAGTAATTATATCAAATAGTATGATTTTAATGTACATTAAATCACCTCGTGGGGCACCACTTTTGAAAAAGGATAAAATATTATCCAGTCAATTACATCAGTCTAATAAAATACACTAAACTATTCATTTTTGAACACTGATTAATAATTAAAATAACTATAATCAAAATTACTGTATCAATATAGGGGTTGGAGGATTTTGGAAATCTTGATATAGCAGGGATTGGTCATTTTTATTAACTCTTGTCAAACAGACAGCATGTATTATTCAAGAGAATTATTCACAATATAGCAAAGCAAACCTAAACACACACCCCAAAGCAGTACATTAGTCATCATGTACTTTTATTTAACATTACTTGACCAACACATACAAAAGAAATATTTTAAATTAAATCTAATCACAAGGCAGACAATTTAAATGAAGTGGCTACAAAAAATGTAAACAAAGGACATCCACAAGTTTGCTGCCTGTAACCGTCTTATAAAGCTTTTTCCGCAATACACGACAGTGGCTGTGATGCACACATTGACTGTATCAGAAGAGAAACAATATACGTAGGTGAACCCTGCAGCAAAGTGAACCCTCTTCCTCAGACAGGATCTTGGCCTCCCAGTTTGTTCCTGGCGGCAGAGCAGAGTGAACCGTCTTTCTTCTCAGAGCATCTTTGTCCCATGAGAGCAGGCACGCTGCTCTCCGTGTCCGCAGTGTAAACAACGTTCGCTGGCGATTTGACAGTCACTACAAGCACATTATGACCCTTTGTAAAAGTTTCTGTGTGGTACCTGTGTTGTACATGAGCTAACGTTAGCGGCTAAGGACTGAGAGGCTGTCCGGTATGTGTGTGTGTGTGTGTGTGTGTGTGTCATGAGGAGCGTCAGTACGTTAGCTTGTTAGCCGTAACGTTAGCCTTGCTGTTTGTCATGTTAATGTTATCGTTGGCAGCCCTGAATAGCTTGTAAAGCTTTAGCATAGTTAGTTAACACATTTGTTATCGGCCCATGTTACAGAAAATTAATAAATCTTTGGTTTATTTGCACAACGTCGCCTCTCTGCCATCTTTTATCACGCTTCCTAACGCCAAGTTAACTTTACCAGCAGCTCTGTATGAGGTACAAACTGAGGCTACAGTTAGCAGTGTGCTGATGCTTAGTGGTATTTCTTAATCTTTTTCTGTGAAACTGATGTGCATTTAATAAACATGCGTACATTATTAGCGTATTATTATATTTTTAGGGGAAAATGCGAGTGAAAATACTCGCACCGTAGACCCATGCCTTCAGTGGACGCGCTCCCACCATTGTTTGCTGCTCTGTCTTCATTCAGTGTCCGGCCGTCTCGCGAGATCTCTCACCATGACCTCAGGTGCTAAATGCTGATCTCGCGAGACTACCTGGGTTGATAGTACTGCAGGCTGCTGCAGGCTGCTACCGGCTGTACAACACGTCCACGGAGTAAAATAGTTCTAGTAAAAGATTGATTTTTTAATTAATGAATCGATATTGTGCCATTTAAAGGAAAATCGATTCAAATCAATTAAATCGATTTTTTCAACCCAGCTCTAGTGATGCAAGAGATATTTTGCAGGAAATTAAATCAAAATAAAATTTCCTATATTTATTGTTAAACGTTAGATGTTTTGGGAAATATTCTTATTTCAGTGAGAGTTCAGTGAGAACATTGATATCACCAGCAAACATCAGAATGGCATCCATCTTCTCATGTAACTTGTGGCATGAAAAGAGATAAGTGAATTTCCCAAAATGTTCCAAATTTCATGTTCAGCTATGTTTGTGAGACCGTGTGATTACCCAAATAGCAGGTGAATCTGTATTTAATGTCTTTGTCTCTGGCCTACAGAGTGAAGCATATAGTGCTGGTGGAGCCCTGGGGTTTTCCTGAGCGCCCGTACATAGTAGAGGCAGACCGTCCCATCCCGGTATGGATCAAAGCCCTAGGGGCCCTGTTCAGCCCCTTCAACCCCCTGGCTGGCCTGAGACTGGTTGGACCACTGGGTAACTCTGTCTGTCTGTCTGTTCTCCAGTACCACTTTTGACTGTGCCAGGTCAAACCATGCTGCGCCGATTTGTCTGTCCATGATCAGTTAAAACCAGGCAGTAACCTCTGGGGCTGAAAAATGAAGCCAACATGGAAGTGCCAAAAACTGCAGTTCCTCTAATGACCACTTGAGGTTGGTTCCAGAAGCCAGTCAATCCCCCTAGAGCCCCATGTTAACCCTATGGGCCCGAACAACGCATAGTGCGTCCAAATTCACACCTGTTCTTCTCTATGGATTTTCTTGCGACCGTTCGTCATAGCGAGATGCTACGCATATCACGTGAAACAGCGGAACCGTAGCTTGTCGGTAGTCCAATGTTTTCACAGCGAAAAAAAATGATAAAGTCACACTAAAATTATGTATAACAAAGGTTTCATACAGCTTTGCACACACATACTCTTGGATGATTTCTTTACAATCGCTTATACAGATCTTGTTATCAGTCACTTCATATAGTGAGGAATATCGCATCTTACCACGTCTTAGGCTTGCGTGTGTTTCTCCCTGTCTATCCACATTTGTAGTCCAGCTTTCAAGATGCAGATATCTCCATATTGTCCAGTTGACACTCCATCAAACTTTGTATAACAAGACCAGCGCACTTCTCCTTTGTGCACCCAGACAACTGTAGCCTAATTATGCATGCGTGACAGGGCAGTAGTCACCATATACATTGAGGTGGACACGTCCCCCCCAATGCCGAAAATGTCCCCCCAATGTATAACTGAAACTGAAAAACAACAACAAAAACAAAGACAAGAAAACGTTCAGATTTTTTTTTACTGCAAACAAAGTGGCAAATATTATCTTGGAGGACATCATTGCACTTGGTTGACTATTTTTCTATGATCTTAGATGTAAATATTGCATGTTTCTTGACTTGTGAATGAGTCAATGGAATTTATTGCAATAGTGAAAATATACTGGCAATTATGTCCGCCTGGCACAAACCACATGTTTTGGACAGCTGTGAAGTGACAGAATGTCCCAGCATCATGGTTCTTATATTGTCAGATTCCAGAGAGTCTCCCCTCTTCATATATGGCAGAATATGTCAACTTCCAACTTGCTATGGTGAGATACATGTAAAAATGTAAGAATTTAGTAACACATATTTGTTTTTTTCATTGATATAAAAATTAATATAAAATACAGGCACATAGAAGGACATGAAAAGATGGCAAATCTGGATAGCCCAAATTGTCCTGAAAAAAAAAACAAGATATAGCATGTGTATGTAGCCTTTATAATGACTGTGATATGAGCTTAAAAGTAAAGGCAGTAAAAATACCCCAGAAAAGGCCTAGGGCCCGAAGGGTTAAAATGCCCATCTTTACAGAAGAAATAAATATGTTTACAGCCTGGTACAAAAAACAGGTTTGGTCTCTACAGCTAATTTCCCCCTCATGACCGCTGTACATTGGGTGAATTTTTTTAAAACTCACCTGTTGACATTTTATTAAGGCTTTGAGTCACGCATAATTAAGGGCTAGTGTCCATGGCTTCTCAGTCAGAGAAGTGCACAGGGGGGGGGCAGGGGGGGGGGCAGGAGGGGCGGTGGCCCCCCCCCCTTGTGGCCCAATTGTTGAAAAACGTCCTCCTGGGAGCCAAAATACACACCGAAGTGCCCTCCTGGGAGCCAAAATGCGCACTAAGGTGCCCTCCTGGGAGCCAAGACGCGCACTAAAGTGCCTTTTTTTTTCTTTTCGCCCCTGCCCTTCAAAAAGTCTGTGCACGCCACTGAGCATGTGTGTTGTGAGACTTCACCAGAGACCTCTGTTAAACCAAGACAGCCCACTTTCAGACTTACGGATTCATTTCCTGTACCTGTGTCACATGGCTTTCATCAGTTCCCTGCCGCTTTGTAAGATAAGCAGCGGTCCTGAGTCTGTTTATTCCAATGGGAAAAGTGAACGTGAGTACAGATTATAACCAGTTCTTTAACTCCATAGTCAGCAAAGTAAATATTGGACCTAGTTTTCACAAGCCACATATCTTCCAAATATTCCGGCACTAAAATGGCATTTTTCAGAAGACAAATTTTCAAGACATGTCTCTATCTCAACAACCCATTCTCACGAGATCTGGCAGCACAAAATCTTTTCTCTCTGTGGTGCTGAACTGTCAGGCTGGTTTCACTGCAGTGCTGTGGATGTCACTTTCCAAATGGATAAACTTATACGTGAAATCATAAATCAGAAGTTAAAACCAAAATGAAACTTGTGTTTCTTTGCTTAATAATACAATAATATATTCTGTAAAGATCAGTGATCAAGGAGTTGATAAGCAGACAGCGTAAGCTAGCGTAGCTCACTAGTGCTAGTGAAGCTTGCAAGTGGAAAAGTTTCTAATTCCATTTAAAACCGGCAATTGTGAACCAAAACTAATGTTATTTTTACAAGAACAATCTTAGAGATACATTTTATCAGTCTCTGTCTTTACAACATAAAACTGGTTGTCTGGAACTTGTGAATGTGTACGTCTAAAACTGTGGCTGTATGTGGGCTCTCTGGCTCTGCAGATCGATGTTTTTCACGGGATAAGCGGGACAGCAGACCACGGCCACTTAGGAGGCTGGTAGTTTGTACTATTTCATACCATTGGTGCAGCTTGTAATGTGTTATTTTTTTGTTATGCATGTCTCTGTCTCTGTCTCTGATTCAGTTAGAAGTTACAAAAGTACTGAGAGCTGAACATACAGTCTTCTTTTCTCTCTCGTCTCCTGTATAGACAGTGGTGAGTGGAGTCAAAGATACTCTGCATGTCACTGCCATTGCATGGGGGTGACATGCAGCAGGGGCCCACAGGCTGGAGTCGAACCCGGGCCGCTGCGGCAACAGCCTTGTACATGGGGCGCCTGCTCTACCACTAAGCCACCGACGCCCCAGCTTTTCTTTTCTAAAAACAAGTCTAATACCACAGGGAGGAAGAGTAAAAGCAGAAACAGCCACAGTGAGATGTTAGATGAAGAGCTGCATACGCCACAGTTCACCTCCAACACAGCTCACCTCCAACATGCAAACTTCTTTTACCTGCCCTGCCATGTGATAGAGAAACACTTGCAGCCAATTTAGCCGTGGATCAGCCCGCTGCTTTTAAACGTCATCATTTTAGACAAGCCATCATCAATAAAAACACACCTTCAAGCAGGTAGCCCTGTTGTAATGTAGACACAAATCCCTGCTGCGCTGGGCTGAAGTGCCGAGCCAAACCAAGCCAAGCCAAGCCAGCACATGAGTGTTAAATAATGGTATTAATGATCCCAGCAGTGGCTGCAGCACAGAAGGATACAGTGAAATGGACGCTAGACAATTAAGAGCAGCTAGAGAAGTATCAAACATGACAGAGCTAATGAAATGCATATTTAAATGAGAAGTATTAAATTAGAGGAACAAAAGAGTAGCTGAACACCTGTAGCATACAGAGAGATAATGAATGACAAATACGAAAAGCTCTGTAAAGACAAAAAAGTGCATGGTTAAAATGGTTTGCTAGGGGCGTCGGTGGCTTAGTGGTAGAGCAGGCGCCCCATGTACAAGGCTGTTGCCGCAGCGGCCCAGGTTCGAGTCCAGCCTGTGGCCCCTTGCTGCATGTCTCTCCCTCTCTCTCTCCCCCTTTCACACTTAACTGTCCTGTCCATTAAAGGCAAAAAATATCTTTAAAAAAAAAAATGGTTTGTTAATGCTATTTTAGCTGAGATCACCACAAATATTTTATATTTTTTTCTTAACATGCAGACAAGTAGTGTGACTACAGATTAAAAACATATGATGAGTACATAATAGCAACTACAGCTATTTTTTTTATTGTTGTGATTGAAACCAAGTGAAAGCTTGGTTTCTTTTGTGCCCACCAGTCCTCCCTGTTGTTAATAATCCTGTCACATGTAATGAAGCAGCATCGTCCCTTACTGGCTACATGCTTGATTTTGACCCTTGAGCTTCTCCTTTGTGGCCCCTGCAGGGCCCCTTCTGGTCCAGACTCTGAGACCGGACTTCAAGAGGAAGTTCTCCTCCATGTTCAGTGACAACACTGTATCGGAGTACATCTACCATCTGAATGTGCAAACCCCCAGGTCTGTTTATGTCTCCCTGTTGAGCCACATTATGACTGCCATGAAATCAGTTTAGCTATTACCTTTGTTTCAGTCATTAGTTAATGTTTAAGGTGTGCTCTGTGATCAACATCTGAATTAGATTTTCTTTTGTATGGTCACAGTGGGGAAACCGCCTTTAAGAATATGACCATTCCCTACGGTTGGGCTAAGAGACCGATGCTACAAAGAATGGACCAGCTTCAGCCTAAGATCCCCATCACCATCATCTATGGATCCCGCTCCAGCATAGACAGCAACTCAGGCAGCACCATCAAACAGATGAGGCCACACTCTCATGTGGAGATCATAGTAAGTTCATGGGCCTTCAATTATCAAACGACCGTACGGCAGAAAACTGTGTGCACGGCCATTTCCACATAAGGCTCGGCATTTATCAATTTGGACATGAGGGCACGCTACTATCAAATCTCACGTCAGGTCTCAGCTCATGTACGCAAGTTTGAGTCAGTGTGGATTTGCGGTACAGCACAGCAAAATCTGGCAGAGTCTAAAAATAATTATGAAACAAACCTCAAACTTGTCATCTAAGCATAAGCAGCCACATATTCAGTACATATTAAAAAAGGATTCTCAAAACGAATAAAACAAAATAAAATAAAATAAAATAAAATAAAATAGCCTACGTTCTCACTGATACTTATTTTTTTGGAAAATAAAAAATATGATAGGCTAAACAGCCTAAACATGACAACTATACATTTAATAGATAGGCCTATACATTATTATACTCTGAAATTTGACGTATACAAACAGAAATCTGTGTTTGCAAAGGAACTCAGTGGCAAAATTCTCTAATTGTTTGTTTTTGGTGTTTTCGATCAAAGCCTGGGTGTGACACAATTTCAAGCAATCAAAAGCATCTGGTAAGATGATCGATATGTGCACTGTGGTTGGTTTATCCACTCACCTATTTAAACAAGAGCTTTGACAGTTATCAGATCTTGACAATGGCAGATTTGCCTGTGTTGGAACAGCAGTACGCGCGTGTAAGACATGAGCGAGTTTTCAGGGACATGCAGGGATCTCCTCATGGAGAGTGATGATTGGCTTATTGTCGCTTTCGGCTCCCAAGGCATGTAATCATTGATTTATGCCACAATTTAGAAGCCCGCTTAAAGAGGGAAACCAGAAGGTCAAATGCCTTACCTGTGCCGGTGCAGGTGCTCGCCATGCTGGGGTTTTTGGCCACCGGCACCTTTAAGCGGGAGATCGGGGACAGGGCTGGGGTCTCCCAGCCAACTATCAGCAGGATGATGCCAGCAGTGTTGGCAGCAATCAAGTCCTTCTCCCAAAATTACATTCGGTTCCCATACAATGATGCCCAGCAATCTGTGATTAAAAGGCAATTTTATGAGATTGCTGGGTTTCTAAATGTAATTGGAGCAATTGATTGCACTCATGGCATCTGAAGCCACCATCCATGAATGATTACGCATTCATCAATCGCAAAAATTACCACTCTGTTAACATACAGGTAATTTGTGATGCCAGGCTATCACTACTAAATGTGGTAGCCAAGTGGCCGGAGGTGACACAAGACTCATTTATATTCCATAACAGTAGCGTGGGCGCACGGCTACGGGAGGGCGCACTGCAGAGCCGAAGTCATCTCCTCGATAAGTAAGTAAACTGCGTTAAATAAATATAAACAAAGTAGACTATTAAATGATTAACATTTTGGTATGGTTCTTGTTCTAGGTGACAAAGGTTATCCCCTCACAGAATACCTTATAACCCCGCTGGTAAACCCTGCCACAGAGCAGGAGCGCAGGTTTAACAGTGCGCACACACGCACATGGGTCACGGTGGAGCGCTGCTTCGGGTTGCTCAAGGGCAAGTGGCTCTGTCTTGGACCAGCGGGGGGAACGCTGCTGTATACCCCAGAAAAGGTGTGTGACATTATTTTGGCCTGTGCAGTTTTGCACAATATTGCTTTAGACAATAGAGTGCCGGCCAGATGAACCAATGCCCAGGGAACCATGGCCAGCACAGCCTCCACTGGGGGGCTATACAGAGGACACAGGACCTCATTCATTGCTTCTAAAATATAAAGTACACCTTAAAGTTGTGTAAGTGCTCTACAGTATTTAATCAGTAATGTAATGCATGTATAGCCTATAGGGGCTATTGGCTAAAGGGATAGTCAATACAGACAATGGACAACGTTTAGTCATTTAAACATTTTATTCAGGTCTTTTGTTTTAGATTCTCGTTCATTTCTTTTAGCGTGTTATTAATTGGGGGGTCTGTAGAGCGAAGCCACAGAAAAAAGACGAAGCGAACATATGCGCGCGGGCATTTCATGAGGGAAGTTGTCAGTCTTGTCCAATGGCGGATTGGCCATCGGGACGTTCGGGACGAATCCCGATGGGCAGTCACCAAGTGGGCCAGTGGGGATGGCCCAGTGAGACTAGTGAATGTCAAGCTAGTTGCTAGCTGTCAGTACTGTAATGCACGTCCCTCCCATGTTGTTTGTTTGCTGTGAGATGTTCAGAGGGAACGTAGGTGGCAATCTTGTGTTTTGATGCTTGAAGGAGGAGATAAGAGCGGCCTCCTCCAATACGAAAGAGGCTCTCATTTTTCTTGAAATCTGATTGGCTCAGCCGTAGTCATCAGTCTATACTCATGGCAGACCAGGCTAGTTTGACCGTAGGCAGAAAACATGGATAAAGTCGGTAAAACAAGAAAGGGTGGCGCGGAAAAAACTTGAATAAAAAAACTTCTGTACAAGAAGAGGCAGCAAGTGCTCCAAAATATCCGACCTGTTTGGCCACAGCAGGTGCATTAACGTTAGCTAACGTTTGTGAGTGTGTAATGAGCAAGGTTGGCTTTGGCAAATTGCATATTTCTTCTAGGTGTCCATTTCAAGAGGCCAACTAGCCTACTAGGTATTGTAAGTCATTATAATTTAAACCTGCACTAAAAGAAAATATGTGCTTGCTTTTTTCCTGTGGATGCATGCAGTTAACATTAGGTGGTGATCCCAGTCCCAAGGACATTGAAGCTGAGGGACAGACTAACCCCAGTCGTGATGAGGAGGAGGATGAGACCAGAAATATGACAGGTGCAATGTGAAGGCATAGCCTACTATGCATTACATTTTAGCCAGAGGATAACCTTTTTAGTAGTACTAAGCGGGATTTTTTTGTTGTAGTAATAAGTTGACTTAAAGTTGACTATAGGGCCTATTTCCCAATTTATACCTCCTTAGTTCGTGGCTGTGACCCATGGAGATATAAACTAGGGTTATGTAATACAAGAGCAGGGCTGGGCAGGACAGGGCAGACAATTATATTGTGCATAAAATTAGATGCATTAGGATAGAGTCATATGCTCCTACAGTATTTTAAGTTAAATAATAAGCACATAGCCATTTGTGGCCAATTCATTATTGCATTTATTTTATAGTCTGGAATTAAATAATAACTGCTGATTTTCTTATGCAGTTGATTCTGAGGACAGCGTTTGTGTACTGTGTACAAGCATATAGACGATTATAGGTAGAAACGTGTGGGTTGGGCCAGTGTCCCAGTCCGCCCCTGGTCTCATCTCTTATACAACATATGTGAACATGTAAAGATACTTTATTTGCACTTAATTATACATTCATACTTTTGTTTTTGTGCAATCTTATAATTCTGCATGTGATCACCACTAGAGTAAATCTAAAAGAAATCAGATATGAGCATTTAGAAGCTCATTTTTCCAAAAAAAAAAAACAATTGAGGAGCATAACCCCGGGACCCCCTAGCAGGTGCCGGGTCTCGTATCCTTCTCACCTTTTTCACCCCTGACCCATTTTCATGCCTGTTCTGGCTCGGTGGGACCACTCTGGAGAGAAGACCTGAACGCCATGCTGCTGGTTGCCTGGTTCTGAAACAGCATTTAAACGAAACAATAAAAATGTGTACCTGTGTATCATGTGAAAGCCTATTTATTTGGACAATAGTGTACTGTCAGGCTTAAATTAAGTGTCCGATTTTACAATGCAAGCAAAGGGAGGGCTGTTAGTTACCATTCTGCTCCGGCTCCGGCTCCGGCTCCGGCTCCGACGCAAGTGCGTCTGTGTCTCCACCACCACCACTTATGCCAGAGATAGATTCTGACCCGATTAGTGAGGAGATTCTTTCCTCGGTCCCCATCAGGGTCAGGCTGGGGTCTGGTTGGCCTCCTCCAGTCTGCGTGCTGCTGCGCCTAAGGGCAGCAACACTCTTTTTTGTTGCCAGCTTTAAGTCTGACCACTTTTTCTTGACCCAAACGTAAAGAATTGTGACTTGATCAACTACCAGGCATAGGCTATTAGGCTATGGATGAAAAAAAATTAATTTTTTTATTATCATCATCATCATTAGGCATAGGCTACTTTATTGAGAATTTTATTCAAACCTCAGCCGGAGTCCATTTGTCAACGGCGACGCTGTTGACTGCCTCCGTGATCTTCTTCCAGACAGCATTTTTATGGGCTCCTTTAATGCCAGTTTTTAAACTTCCAAAAAGCACGTCTTTATTTACCTCCACCTCAGACGTGAGGGTGTCGATTTCCAGCTCGGAAAAGTTTCTCTTCTTTGCAATTTTTTTCCTCTCCATGTTGTGACCTCACAGGGCGAGGCCTCTGAACCACGAATATTTAAGGGCGTGACATGCTAATGACGATCGATTTCAGTCACCACATTTATCGAGGCCTGATCATTCGTACGCTGGGACTGGTCAGATACGAACGTTTCATAAATCACCCGTCCTATCATAAGATGAATCCTGCACTCAGATCTGCACCCATTTCCACGCAAGATTGATAAATGAGGGCCTTGGTGTTTTCGGATGAGGTAGAGGGAAGTGACTTCATGTCGCTGTAACTCTTAATTCATGTTGGACCCCCTCTGCTTTTACGTGTTAATGTGAGGAAAAATATAGTGTTATATTGTTGTTCTTGTGTCATGCGGATTACTGTTAATTTATCATGTTGATCTGTTCTGTTCAACATCTATTGCACGTCTGTCCGTCCTGGAAGAGGGATCCCTCCTCAGTTGCTCTTCCTGAGGTTTCTACCATTTTTTTCCCCGTTAAAGGGTTTTTTTTGGGCAAGTTTTTCCTTATCCACTGCGAGAGTCCAAAGGACAGAGGGACGTCGTATGCTGTAAAGCCCTCTGAGGCAAATTGTGATTTGTGATACTGGGCTCTATAAATAGAATTGATTGATTGATTGATTGATTGATTGATTTTTTTATTCTAATTGATAGAAGGTAAAACTGTGCATTCATGTATTTATTTGCATTCTATTGATGGAGTTT